CGCGTTTTATTGTATGAGTATGGTAACACAGCCCAGGCTATATTGAAAAGTAATTTATCTCCAACATTAATGCCTTTGATACCTACAAAGCAGGGGCGTGGATGATTATATTGCATCTTTGATATTTGAAGACAAAAATTGATTAGAACGTGGGCGAAGCGCATTCGACGGAATATGGGGTTTGTACATGCATTCATCATTTTTTTTTCGGTTCTGAGCAACCAGGTGCTTAATCATACAAATGTTAATTGATCTTGCGAAATTGAAATTTGTATGGGTTGCGGATAGTGGACGCAATTGATATCGTAATAATTCCTGCCAAGGTAGTAATGAGGATATTAATTTTCCAGTTGATTTTGTAACTTGTCCTAATGATGCAGATTCAAGGCTTTTCATCCTCTATAACCATATTGCTCACAACAGTGAAAGATAGTAGTATCGTAGCAGTAACAGCTGCTATTGACTAATTATATCAATTCATTGTCTTGGTGTGATTCATGTTAAAACTTTTCAAGCGAGCCGAATATAACGAGACCTTCTGATCCCAGTCTGGTCATCATATGCTACAACCTTGACCTATAGTATCATTTTTAAGTAAAAATGTTACACTAATAACATTATTTTAAACGCATTGAAACAAGCATTTAACAATATTATAAAGGAAGCAAATGTTTCAAAAATACTTGTTTTAACTACCAATTAAATGCCTTCAGCATAATTAGATTGGCGATATATATTTGTATAGGAATGTTTATAATTTATGTCTTGTCCGCAGGGTTCTATTTTGTTGAACAAATATATTTAATGTTAGACAAACTTACTTCTTCCCAAAAAATTCAATTACTTCTGTATTCATATCATTATGTGCATAATTGATTCGGTTATCCATAAAAGTGACTTTAAGTAAGTCGTTGCTATTTTAATAAATTTTGCATTTATTCCATGGTATTAAAATAAATTTTATTTGCAGCTAGCTGTATGCTCTCTACTGTTTGCTTAAAGAGCATTTTCAACTTTGATTTTGCGAGTATGCAGTTGCGAGTGTAGATGGTGAGGTGTGAAGGTGAAAAAATTACAAGGGATTTTAAAATCAATACAAAAATGTATATTACAAATACTACCAAGTGTTAAAACTTGATAATAAAAGTTACTAGAATTCTTCTAAGTAATACTTACAGTATTACTGACTGACAATTATCAACCAGATACTGGCGACCAACCAGTATTTTTTAAAGCAAACTTGTAATGAGTAAATCGATGATGGGGATTTTAATTTTCACTCAAAAGCACCTTCGATAAAAAAATATTCAGGTGGTAATTTCGATTCTAAAAAATTTAAAAGTATCGTTAGASSGTTTCTACCCGTTTTGATAGACATGYCGTTATGAAAATCACAGGTTCATYTAGAACTATTGTTCACCAATACRAAAATGTGACCAATTTTGAAGATGTTTTTATTCGTTTAGTCTCGTAGCTCAACAATTTGCTGATTCATTTCCTAAAATTTTTCTGGCAAGCGGTATCATAGCATGTATTTCTCACTTTGTCAGTCGGTCACAATTTTGTTTATTTTTACATCTCCTATGTCTCAAATTGAACTTAACGGTTTTCAATTTACTCCTATGTTCCATATCGTTTATCCCAATTCTGAGTCTTGAGTTTAACTGACTTGAAAAATCGTGCTGGTAAAAACKTAGTTCTTATCATGTCAATTAGCCGACCTCCTGTGAAAGTTCTTCTTATTCTTATTCTTTAAACCAATGATAAATACGTGTTATTTAACTGAGCACCCTTGACTTTTCCAACCAAATTCGTCCAAATGCGACTTCATATTAAGACATCGTACCTACCATCAAATGAAGAACATTAATCACATTTRCCGATTAAAGATAATTATAAGCTGCTTTGTAAAATAGCTTGTTCCACTGCATAATGTCGTCCGGATCCGTAGGTGTATAGTGTATATAATAAAATTTATAGCCACGGACAGGTATTAAATTGATTTCAGATATATAATTTTGCAATTATTTAGTTTGAATTTCAAATCAGCCGTAAAGGAATTTGCGTAGCATTTTTTAAAATACACGATTAATGTGTTACTATCCATTAATGTTATGGAGTTGCTGAGAAAAATACACACAGCTAAATCATGCATGCCTAATTGAAACACTTTTATTTACATGCATAAAAAGAGCAACAATTTGATCGGATCTCCAATGGGTTTAGTTCAGGTTTCCGTCCTACTCATTTGTAAAAAGCGCTTTGTCAATAAACATTAATCAAATCAATTTATTCATGTACATGACAATATTAGTTTATCATTCCTAGCGTTAAAGGGTCACTAGGTTAGAACTAGGCGTAAAAGGAAATTAGTTAGTAACAGTTCTAACCATTTGGTATATATGTAATAATAACTTAATAATTTTAACGGCCGCGGAATTTCGTAAATGTTGAATTTTAGTGGGCAAAAACGCTGCTAATAGATACTGCATTTCTGTGACTATGCAAGACGTGACCACGTCTGTTTAAGCCATTATTCAATCTGCGGGAGTTCTACTCGCTTCCACAAGTTTTGTAAGAATATAGAAATACAATTCACGATTGGCCATCAATGAGAAATGCTTTTCTATGTTGTTTTTCTTTTGCAAAATTTGACAATATTGCCTTAGCTGTAGTTGATGTATTGAATGATTTTGAGCTATTCATGCAAAGCAAAAGTCAGTAGCATTAAATAAAGCACTAATTATTTTTTTTTAAACTTTTGTGTGAAGATACTGTAAACTTCGGCCTGTATTGCATGAGAAGAATTCATTTTACAAACAAATGTCAATTAAAAATAATTTGTATTTAAAAACCTGATCAAAAATTATAAAGCTTTTCCAGAAGATCGCCCACTTTTTAAAAAGTAAAACTTCTTTATCCAAGGTGACATAAAACTGTTACTTATTATCTGCCGGTTTAAACACATGCCTGTAAATTTCTTATAATTTAAATTAACAAAAATGTTGGAATTGAAATAAGGAATTCTTAAAGAAGATGAGATCCATCTTCCCTGTACCAAACGCAATTCAATTCAATACCAAGCGTTCGATCTAGAAAACAATGTGATTCCTTAACGCTTTTACATATCTGTTGGCATTTAAATACCCGTCAACAAAGAACAATTATGTAATAAGATTGATCTAAAATGTCAGCCCACATATTAACCTTTTAGAGATGCCGAGTGGTGTTTGCATTGCAGATATGTTAAATATCCGTCCAATAAGATGATGAAAATGAGCTTCATCCGGAAAGAAAGATATGTAAAAAACCAACTTCTAATTTGATTTTTCACTCATAATTTTGCAAAAACTTTCACTTGGATTGGAGGAATAACAATTGAGACTGGTCTGAAAATCAACTCTTTACCAACTTTTTCTTCGCAATACCTTCTCCGACTACAGGCTGCTTCTAATCAGGAGCTTCGCCTTTATTTTCGGAGCTTATCAGGTAAACTTTTGAATTGAACAGTTGTGAACAAGCTTAAAAAACACCAGGCTCTAGTTGCTGTTAAAGCTCTAAAGGAGACTTTAATCTTTCATTTATAAATTAGTTTTTTGTATACACGGTGATTTACGTAGATCGTATTTAGAAACTTTACATCGGGTCATAACGGGTCGGGCCGAAATCATGTAATAGCTATTTACGTAACCAGTAGGATATGAATATTATTAACACACTAATGTGATTATACGACTTAGCCTACAGCCTTGTCTTGCAAATCTTCACATCCGTGCGATAAAAATACTCATATCCTACGTGTTACGTACAATATTTTATCTACAACTACAATAATTAGTTATAAAGTTGATAACCGGAAATGAAAATTTGGCATTGTCGTCAGAATGATTGTCAAAGTTGTGTTTTAAAATTACTTACAAATTTTTAATGTTGTTTCGGATCTTGTGCCAGGGGAACCACCAGTGCCAAATACAAAAAAGTTTTTGATCGGTACCAGAAATGGTGCAGTGAACGAAAGATACTCAACTTAACAAGCGATGAAGGAATATTAGTATATTTTAACAAAGTAAGCAAAATACATAAACCCTCATCCCTTTGGTTTGTGTGTGTATCTTTCGATAACTGTACCTTTTCTGGTACCGATCAAAGCTCATCGGGTCTTTATTTCTTCCGTGATTTTTCTAGCACAAGAACCGAAACAACATTAGTTCGGATCTCGTGTGAATCGGAGCTCTGTTCTCAATATCAGATGGCAGATCATTGCTCGAACTGATTTTAAAATGTGCAGTTCTGAGACAGAACTTTAACAATATTACTAATAATTTAAAAAAGCACCAGTGCAGTAATAAACATTATTATGACATTTGAAAGAGTTCCAAATCATAGTAATTAAATAATAGTTGTAGATAAAATGCATTTAGCTCTTTAGCTATACAGGGTGTACCATAACTATCACCTAACTTTCTTATTTTAAATGTACACCCCTAATTTCTTTAGCATAGGTGGATTGGCTGTCCAATTGTCAGTTTGAGCCACACTGGTTTTGTCAACTTATCTCTTACTGTTTTCGGTATATGTCATTGTTTAAGAAAAAAAATCAATTACAGATGTTTACGGAACAAGCTATATCTAAGAAACGGTTCTAAATTCAGAACCCATATTTAGCAGGTAGTTAACTAAAAGCCTAAGCTAACTCCCCAGATGAGACTAACGTATCCATTTTGTAACATATGAGTGCATTTTCAGTTTTTTAATCATAGAAAAACCGTGTAAAACTTGTTTTCGAAAATGGAACAAATCCCTATTGCGAATACAAGACTTCTTTAATTTAGAATGCAATTCGTACAAACACAACTTTTGCTTCACATGTTGGCTGTTCCGTTCGTTTTAAGACAAGACATTGAAATAACGCTATATAGATATAATACACTAATATAATAAAATACATGTCAACAATATCTAAAAGCAATGTGGCAGAGAAAATGTAAAGCCAAACTTACCGAAATCTGCATCGTGTCACCTGGAAAGAAAAAAATGCTGTTTAGTGTACAGGAAATAATTAAGTGTTGCGTGTGTGAAAAATGCCCATACTTTTCCGGACACCCTGTATATTAGAGACCTATCTTACCAGGTTTCTGCATGCTGGGGTCCCATCCTGAACCATTTCCGTATGGGCTCTCGTACTTTTCAGCAAAAAATTCCAATATTTCGATATCCGATATATTCCCGATTAAATGTGACCACGACTGGCAAGACTGGCAAGACACGTAAAGAAACTGGCAAATTAGTGCGGTTCACGTATGTATTACATCAAATATTTGCGAGTTTTTCAAAAAAAATCTGGCTATTTGTACAGTAAAAACATAATGACGTTTGCTTGGTCGTCTCTTTACCGTTTTACTCGTCTGAATGATTAACTTTTTTTTATTGAGAGAGTCTAGATAGCTGCAAATATAAACCCGAAAAATATAAACAACAGGGAAAGTCAAACAACTCAGATCAGGCGCCCAATAGGCATTTTATGCTCAATGAAAACCGGCTTTTTCTGGAAGGTGGTAAATTTTTGGGCAATCCTGAACCTTTCAGGACCTTTTTCCACTGATGCGTATATCGTCGGTTTTAGGGGAGAGCGTTGTACTTTCAGACGTTTTTTAGTTTGTCTTCCACACCACTTTTTAAATACATTATTTTAACTAAAGCCATTATGTTATCTTCTTTTTTAGAACGATATTCTCAAACAATATACAGGGTGCTCCGATATTTCAAAATACATTACTTTTTCATAACTTTCACTGTCAACACCAGGAGAGTCAAATACATTTCCTTAATGGAAGTTTTGCTCGATCGTCTTCTTTTGAACCAGAAGCGTACATTAGAAGTTTTCCCCCAAGATATTTTAGAAACTTCAAATTTTGTTTCCGGTCAGGATGAGTCGTGCCGAAGCCATGTAAAATTTAGGGTTCCCCCTCCATCTGTACAGGGTGTATGAAATAACTTCTTAATAATTAGTAGAATATAACTTCTTATTTTAAATGTAGACCTCTAATGTTTTAGCATGGTTGGATGGGCCTTCCAATTGCGAATTTGAGCCACCCTGGTTTTATCAGCTTTTTTCTTATTGTTTTTGATATATGTCAATTGTTTAAGAAAAAACTGCCAACACAGGTGTTTACGTAACAAGCCATATCAGATTAACGGTTTTAAATTCAAAACCTAAGTTCGGTAGGTCGCTAGCTGAAAGCCCCAAGCTAACTCCCCATATGAGTTTAAGGTCTCAATTTTTTAGCAGATGGGTGCAAAACAGTCGACAAAACGGTTTTTCCTAAATGGCACCTACAAACTCTCTTGGTCCTCTTTGAAACTTTTTCTATGATTAAACAATAAGAACCTAAACGTGAGTAGGTGCTATTTAAAAAAACTATTTTTTTACATTTTTGTATGTCAATGTTTGTATGCTGCATGACTGCAATACCCATAAGCTACAAAATGAGGAGCTACTTTAATGTCATCTGGGGAGTTAGCTTGGGCTATTCGCTAATTACATACCAAATTTGAGTTTTGCATTTAAAACCGTTAATTTGAAATGGCGTGTTCCGTAAAAATATGTAATTGCATTTACGTAAATCACCCTGTATATTCAGTGATTACAAAAATTGCATTTCCACACCTGCATAACTAAGCAATCCATACATTTTGGACGTTTTTATTTTGCATAAGAACGATTGATAATTGATCAAAGTCAATACCATGACTTCACTATTTGTTTGCTAATGATCATCTTTAAACCGTCTCTGTTTTGATAAATGGAATTATGCTTAACATTAATTTATATTATATTGCTATATCATCATAGCATCAATTAAATTAGGAAATATGCAACCCATTATCAATGGTGAGATGAAACTTTATAGATTGGACTGATTGAAATATTTATTGGTCTAGGGCCCCAGTTTAATTAAAAAAAACTTTCTTCTCCAAATCAGTGACTATTTTTTTGAATATTAGTGGTAATCGGCTATATTACCATTAGATGTATTAATTTAGCTGATGGAAAATCGATTTTTTAGTAAATGGGGGCCTTTGTCCAATGTCACGAGCAAAAAATAAGGTTTCACCCGTGCCATGGATTATAATTAGATTGTACCAGCTCTATTATGTTGAAACTTTACAATAAGGTTCATTGTCGAGAAAATTTCCAAACAATGCACTTCAGCTTTTTACCTCTCCACAATTTTTGCCATAAATACACCCGAACATACGCTTCCATGTTGTGTGCACGTCGGATAATAGACAGTAATGCTTTTATTCGTGCTGCCCCCACGAAATGAATGCAATCAGATTCTTTATCTGGATCATTTATCTTTTAGGGCCAAAAAACAGGAGCATAAAAAAGCTAAACAATTTACAAGACAAATTTTAACCGCTTTTACTTTATTATGGTCGTAAATAAAATTACTTATTAAAATACTCCCTACGGTACGAATGCTTATTAGGCTATACATCTTTGTATTGAGAACCTTTGTCACTTTCTCTAAAAGGACAAATGAAAAAGAAGCATTTATTTGTTATTAGAGTCAGGCTTTTGATAATATATGCAAACATAATTTTCTGTTTTTAAATTTGTATTCTTCATCTGAACGGATTGTAGATGGCTATTCAGCAGCGAGAAAAAAATCTCAACTGTTGAAATCTGAGACATTTGCAGCAAAAATATAAAATAGCTAAACTGCAAAATTTTCATCTATTTTCATACCCGTGTAAAACAGCTATTGTTTACCAGGTTAATCTACAAATTGTAGGGTAATTTTACTTTATTGATGCGTGTGAATCACGAAACGTGGCAAAAGGAAATGTGCTCACTTTTTTACTTTTTAAAACAGTGAAAAATCAATGTGTATATTTTAAAATACCCAATTACGTTATGAAGTTAAAATTGACAATAACTCAGTAAATAATTCAAAACTGGCCAGTTATTGTCAGTTTTTTTAAATATTCTAAGTATGATCAGCTAGTATACCTAAACTCATCCGAGTCCTTAAGACATATCAAGTCATTATTGCGTGAAATCATTATCCGTGACTAATTCGAAACTGAAGAATTTTCCGTATAGTGGAAAGTCGGGAATACGGCCAATCAAAAGAAACTTTTATGTTATTATGCCGTAATGATCGGCTCTTTTTGCCGGCTTTAAGCTTTTTCTTTAAAGCTCTTTTAACGCTCGTGTTTAAGTGGGCGTGCAGCAGCCGTATCGAATTTACAGATTTCTATCGCTTATCTGGTTAAGATTGATGTATTCTTAATATACACTTAGACCGCCTATGTGAAGAATCAAATCGGTTTGTAGGAATCCATACAGATTACATTGTTATTCAACGTATGCATCAAATTTATAACACATACAATAAATAATGCTGAAATTGTTGTACGTAAATGCAAATACTAGGGACATTTTTTGGGACGTGCTTTTCCGATTTATTGAAGTTGATAATGCATCAAGTGTGATGGAATTATCTATTGCTTTATGGTCTGATTTGGTTTTCTTGTTAACTATTTTTGCATTTCTTCAAAGGATATTTGCCGATTAATAGATTAATTTGTAATGGATTTTAGGGTACTATATGTCAACCTAATAAACATACATAAAGGGTCTTCTGTTTTAATCTAAACGTCCAGCTGATTTTTCCTTCTGCTTTATTAATTATATAAGTAGTCAATGATTAAAAGTTACTTACTCACAATATATGAAGTTCGTTGAGCGTCTGAAATTGCCAGTTGAATGAGGTCTTAGTGGGTTCTTCCTCATTGACCTCTTTTACCTGTAAGAGAACCAAACGAACATTAAATATGCTTTTCACTTCTACAAGCGCTGATAGTGTTATGTTGTTTTTCGACTCGTCATATTTGTTCATCAAAGGGTATGCAATTATTTCGATAAGTTTAAAGATCTTATTGGTACTCAATCGGAAAGTTCAAAACGTTTTTTGGAAAATAACGGCTTTGTTGAAAAATGTACGATTGTTACACGTACACCATAATGAACATCATCTGTTTTTGATTCATTAATGTTAGCATTTCTTTGAAACTCTAGTTTCAAATCACCGATAGCAACTAATGTTCTCTTAGCCTTTAGGTTTTGAAGTATACATTTTAAATAATTTTATGTTTGAAATCAAACGAATAAACCTTTCTTCCCCTCAAAACAAAGTTTTTCAAACGCTGCTTATATTTGATTTATTCCTACTACAGCTTTCAGCATCGATAGCTGCTGTTGAAAAACTTGTACCGCCGCAATTCTATTTTAGCGCATTTCGTAGCTAATCTATGCCAATTAACATACATACTTTTTTCGTTTCCATTCAGTGTTTTTGTCGACTTTTGAAAACCGATAAAAAGCAGACGGAACACCAATAGCGGATGAAACGATCAGATCATTACGGAATTGTAAAGCTCACTTTAATTGGACGGATATAGCTTTATTGTGACTGATGGGGGAGCGGCCAGTTGTAGCAGAAGTAATAAGAAGTTCAGGATTGCCGGTGTTTACAAGTTGGAAAACCGTTTAATAGGGAGTTTTAATTGACATGCTTGTTAGAGATTCTCACTTTTCTTAAAAAGCTGACGTATCCGTCCTATTATCAATTCCTTTTCATGAAGGCAAGAATCCATTGCTGCATTCACTCCCAAGCTGTAAAATCACTGATGAGTGTTATATAAATTGTACCAGTAATATTTATTTCAGATTTATAAATACATCAATTAAAGGAATATGTTAACAACCTCTATCAATACTTTGTAATGAGGTACCACATTTTAAATTCGATCCATTACAAAAGATAACCTATTTTATAATTAACCGTCTATTTTATAAACGCTTCCACGCACAATCAATGGATTGTACTACTATCAACCACAATTATCTTTAATACATTCCAACTCTTTCAACAACATCCAATTAGGAATGTTTATTTTTTCAACCTACATTCACTTCTTCGTGATAGTGAAACTAGTTCTGCCAATTAAAAGATAATCAATTCCTGTCCACATTTTTCTGATTGGATGCTCATAGAAATTGTAGATTTTCAGTTTACGACTTCATAAAACCGAAAACCTCACCTGTGTTTCACGTTTCAACTTCGCCGCTAATTCCAACAACTGCATATTTGCGATGATTAATGCTAAACAATTAAAACATCAACTGAAAATACATTTTGCAATCATATGAAATAAAAATGTGTATCGGTGCCTTCTGACCTCGTTTCTTCTGAAACATCAAGAAATAGTTTAGGCACAACTGTTTATAAATAGCACTTATCTCATAGTCATATGGTCCACAATAAAAGTGCTACATTTTTTCGTCAAATACTGTTCACTAGTTTCGTATAAAACATTAAGAGCGATTAAAAAGCGACAAATCTTTCGACAAGGTCCCGGCTTTGTGTATTAGTGTTGCTAAATGTATGTGGCTAGCAGCCGTTGATTACCTATGAAAGATCTAAGTTGCACCGGGATTGATCATCATAAGCAAGGAAAAGGTATTTATTAATAATTGCTTACTTATTTGTCCATCTACAGGTGCAGCCAAAGACCAAATTTGGAAATTGACATTCACGTTAATGAGATCTGCAAATGGTGCGATATCGTAATCTATCCCAGAATGGGTCTTGCTTACAACTTTATTTACTGTTCTTAGTTTGATAGGCTACTGATATGAAAGTTATAATTAACTTAATATAAATAAAATGAGTGTCATTACACAGAAAAAAATCTTGTGGTTTTATCAGCATAGTTACTAAAATACTATAATATTTTTGATTGGAGCTTTCAATACTTGCACCTTTCCTTGTATACGCTTCCTGCTTAAAATGTGAGAAGTGGTCTTGACCAAAATTTCGAGAAATTTTGGAGAGTGGAAAGCTATTGGGAATCGATGATCCACTGTGATCGTCAGTCACAAAATTTCTAGTTGCAATCTTAAGCAAGTTTTGGAAAATATATTACTTCATCAACTTTCTTCAACTTTAAAAAATATTTTTAATTAAAAAATTAAAAAATGTGATCTACTCTGAAGCTATTTCCACAATGAAATAAAAAGTTATAAACGATTAAACAGATTAGATATAGTTTCCCTTAAACAAGTACGAGACAAAATGAGATAATATACCTAGACTATTTAGGATTTACAATATGACGACACGTTTTTCATGCAATTTTGTCTTAAAATTGACATCAACATTGACACTATTTAATGTTAGAATTGATTTTTTTTAAATAACAGTCCAATCGAATAACTTGTGAACTGATGAATTAATGTATTGTTGAGCAAAGCATTTATGTAAATTTTACGAACTTTTAAATATATCAACATTGCCAATATATTTTTTGGCTGCTCAATAAAGTTTTAGGATTAAACGAAGCAGGCTTTGTACTTGAGTGGATACATGATTCAATGGCACATCAAAAGTTTTAAGAGCTCATAAACTCCATATTATCGCTGTAATAGTCGTATTGTGAAACTTCGCCCTTTAAGTGTTCGATTGCCGTTTAGTTAATAGAAACAGTATCTTCTGCCTCGCGGAGAGATTGAGAATGATTTAATTTATCATACGATAAGCGTTAATACATATTGGTATTTAAGTAGCCAATGATTGGTGAAGCCAACAGACGAAGTTCGATTTTTGGTAAGGAAAGTACAGTATTTGTGGTCATGTTTGCGCTCAAAAAAACATTTATACTGTTGTTATACTTGTTGAATGTGCTTTTTATTGTGCGTGCTATAAATAAAGTGATTTTTTATTTAATAAGAATCTAAAGTACCTTCCAGTTTGCATGCCTATTTTTCTTTTCAAAATGACTTCTTCGTTCCCATAAATAAATCGCAGGATGAAAGTTCCTAGTATACTGTCGAGCAGATTGCAAACTAAAAATGAAATATCCGAACCGCAGACCTAAGGCAATATTTTGAAATACACTTAGGCATACGAGGCAAAATCTACTTTAGGCCCCTGTTTAACTAAATCCAATATTTGTTTTTGCCTACGGTTATCCCGCACAGGCTAAAGAAGTTGAAATAACTGTTTACGTTATAATGTTCTATCATATTTACTTCCTTATTTTTCGTGCAATTCTAAATTGCATCCACGTTAGCATAAAAAATGGGCCATTACACCGATTTTTCATGATACTCTGATATTTATGTTAAATATTGACTCTTTCACCTCATAAAAGTTAATTATCAGCTTATTCATTATAGGCGACAAAAAAGCAGATTTCAGCAGAGAACTGGTATTTTATTTGCTTTATTTTTCATACATATATGATTGGGTCCAGTTTTCTATTAATGTGCTTTTATCGGTTCTCGATATTATTATAATCCTTTGAGTAAGTTAAGTGTTTTTCCCACTCGGGCCTACATTTAATCCCGTGATTAAGTACAATTTCTAATAATATAATTTATTTGCTTGTTTACTTCAATCTGTGCGCATTCTCTTCAAATTTATTACAATGACTGTTGCTTCCATTTACATACATTATATGAGCAGTATGTTGTTACACGCCCTATGCATTTTCCGCACTGTAGTTCCTTTGTTCACAACTAATTCGAGTGCATAAAAGAACAAAGCGTGTGTAATTGCTTAAATTTTTTATTATAACTAAAGCATTAGTTGTAACTAAATAGTAAATATTTCTCTAAATGCCCCATAATAAGGAAGCCAAGTACAGCCTATTTGTATATGTTAAATATTTGAACACACATATTTACTGTTATCAGAAGATGTTATTTATCGTTTTAATAAATTAGATTTGCCGGGTACAGTTCCATAAGCGGGTGTTGAGCTAAATTGAACAAACAACCTTAAATAAAATAGTCGTTAAATAGATAATTGAACAGGCAACATTTTGTTTTAGAATGTATAGTTTTGATACCCAACTTTGACAGCCACAATTTCAATTTCAACGGTTGATTGTTGTTTGATGCGAATTATCGCTGATCGACAAAAAATCGAGTTAAAATTTGATTTTCTTCTTTTGACTTTACTAGAATTTTAACCCTTGACTAGAATTTTAAACACTCTTATATTACTTTCTTTAAATTATCATAATTGACATGTCGAAACTAATAAAACTTTGAGTTTTAATCCTAATTCGAAAAGTTGATGAGCGAATTACACAGTCAGTTGATCAGTGATTGAATTATTAACAATACCATTAAAGGATCTATCAGATGCTCGACTAATGTTTACAGAATATTTGTTTGCAAATTATTTTCTCCTAATCATCAGGCAAAAGCGTTTTTGGTTTTTCTATGCTGGATACTAATTTTTTTATTTGATCAACATGAACCATTGCATAATCCACCTAAGCCGTTAAAAACCAGAATATTAAGGAACATCCCTAAAATAAATGAGTGGGAAGAACAGCGTTAAAGAAACAGACTACACATGTTCTGTCACTTTCAAACCAGAAATCAAGTAGATACTAAAGAATGTATATGTTTTTTTTTAAATACTTCGAGGCACTGCATCTTAACAACAATAATGAATTGATAATAAATTTGTAAAACGTAGTATTATTTGTAAAATGTAGTCGGTCATTTTAAGAAAATTGTTACTTGAGTTCTTGGCAGTTCGGAAATGCATAAGGAACAATTTTCCCTTCTTGTAAATTTGATTTCCTTCGTTATGTAGTAATAGCAATAAATGCAGGTTTTTATCTTTACATGTTGTATATTTATTTCTAATCTCCAAGTAAAATTAGTCTTGTCCTAAAGTACAATTAGAGCTGTCCCAGAGTACAAATCGAGTTGTACCTCAACGGC